CTCGGAAGGCGTCCGAAAATTTGCTCATCCCGACGATGTGGCCGCCATGCAGGCTGAGTACGTGGTTCTGTCTTATTCAAAACATCGAGTCAAACTGACGGCCTTTGGCAGATGGGCTCAGGTCTGCGCAGAAGATGAATTCCTAAAGGCGCAACAAGGGTACGCGCCACCCCAACCGAGTACCTGCCATGGCTCATTTATTTTTTTAGGTCTTCGGCGTCTTTCCAGAACGTTCAAGATAATCAGGCGTTGTTTCCAACATTGAACCAATTTACCGCTCCGGTGGCTGGTCTCCCCCAGTTTCCCCCAATGGACCAGAGCCAATATTATATTCCGCAGCCCCCTGCCGTCCCTCAAGCGCCGCTGGAAGGCGCCACATGGTCCCAGCCTGAACACGATGGTGGTTCGTATGCGAATGGACCTAGTTTCGCTCAAAATTATTTCCGCCCCGTCGTTGACCTGGAGCTTTGGGCAGCAGGGGATCCCCGCGCGTATGACCCCAAACCACCATTCTCCCAAGGACAAAACGCGCAATTCCAGACGGGTACCCCCTCAGTAACAGAACATGCAGGCTATGCGTACCCCGGTGCCATCACGGATACGATGACGAATGCCGACATCTTATTGCCGCCCGCATCAGACCCTGAAGTGACAATGTATCTGAGTCATGACAACAGCTTGGAGCCATCTTCTTCTGCCCCCGATGGGACAGCGTGTGCCAAGCCTCCCAAGCGTAAAACTCGCCATACCGTTAAATCTGAGGATGGCAGTTTGGGTTCGTCTCTGGCGCCAACCACGCGCAAGCGCAGATGCTTGGACGACGACGAGGACGAAGTCAGAGAGGGGAAGTTTGGTGCTTACAGACTAGCGGACGCCAGTGCCGTCGTCATGGCTGTGCCCGTTCACGACCCGAAGCCGGTAGACGTCAGCAGCCGCAGGACTCATGATGCTGGCGGCAATCTTCTTCGAACGAGGAGATTCGGGGCGATGGAACTCGATGATTCCTACTCCAAACGGTCCGTCAAGATTACGAATGAACTACCCGCAAAGATGACTTGCGTACGAGCATGCGATTGGACGGACCAGCCCTGCGGGCTGTTTGTAGAAATGAACAAAGCCCGCGTCGCACATCACCTGTTGCATTGGCATGGTGTTAAATCTACAGACACGGCTGCCTGCAAATTCGAGGGTTGCTCGAAGTCAGAGGCAATGATCAATTTGGGCCGTCACATTGAGGGCGTCCACTATACTACGTCCTACGAATGCCCCTATTGCGGCAAGCGGTGGTCAAGATCCGATTCTTTGGATCGGCATCAGCAGAAATGCAAACCACTCCTTGATAGTAAGGACCGCGCTACGAAGGGATGTCGCAAGTTCAATCTCCAAGACCCGAAGAAGTTGGTCTATGGGTATATCGTTCCTGCCCGCAACGCGACATAGTCCAGCGTACGACTGTACGTCCCCTTGACCTGTATCTGTCACTATTGCTAATTTCCTGTTGCCGTGCTCTAGTACTTTCTCCGATTCTTCACGAATCTCTTCTCCTTCTATAACTCCGTCACTCGTTTCATTCTATCGTACATATATTTGACCAAATCACTTCATCTCATCGACATTCTTTTTGCGTTGAATATTCCCTCTTCTCAGTGTATTTTCCTCTCCTCATCATCGCTTGGTGTATCTTGTATATGTTTATTGGATAACCCTTATTGCACGCTGGACGTAGCTATCGTATCTCATTATGTCGCTCGGTACATATTATGTATGCTTGCTGGATGGAAGTTGGATGATGGAGCCTGGCGCTGCGCATCGCACTTCTTATGGATCAAGAATGAATATGATATATTGTGTTGCATTTGTGTCTTCCCTGACACCGCTCATGGTGTGACAGCTTTCATACTTCCCTATCCCATCAAATATCACCCTGAGCGATTCTTGGACCCTTGCGCTTGATCAGTTTCTACTTGATACTCACGCCAGTTTAACTCTCAGTCCCATGACCTCCCATAATCCTGTGGCTGCGCTTGACATCCGCCTTAAGCACCGATGCCAATGGCTAAGACCTTGATGATATAATCATGGTTCACAGGAAAGTACTGGCCTGGCATACAGCCGGTCACTCAGATCAATCCTCGATATTGAATAGCCTTGGGACTCGACTACCGCTTCGAGCACCAACTGAGGTCTATGAGTAAGTATTTACCGAGCCGATCCCATCCATCGTTGGTACGAGATCATATCCTCCCACTTGACTTCGCGTTATGATTGCATCTCTGTCTTGTGCTCTGCCCACACAGAACCCCTCTGGTTCTCCTTAATGTATGCATAAACCTGTGACCAATCTCGACATATATGAGTCACACCCAAACCGTCTGAGCCTGCCATCGATCCATTGATGTAGACTGGATCAAGGGTAGTATCAGAATTGCAAAGAATGGCCTGTCGCAAGAAGTTAAGGCAGTGGCCACTATGGTCATTGGGCCCGTTAATAAGGGCTAGCCGGATCATTTGTAGACAATGAATCTGGTGAAACATCGAGACACCAAACAGTCGTCCTAATAGAATATGGGAACGGCAAGCGTCTGACTCATGTATTGACAAAAATGGGGTGAATGATTGCTTACCATTTGGTCCCAGACGCACGAATCCGTGACCTTCTGGAAAATGATCGAGCAAATTCCACTCCGACCAGGCTGTGAGCCCTGATGTACTGTAATACTTTGAGTCTTCAAACGTCAATGCGACGATTTCCAAGTCGAGGGGTAATTCAATCGGATGATCATCGCCGATGTAAGCTGTATCAAATATGCTGAGTGAGATGAACTCCTGTGGCTGTTCGTAAAAGGGACCTTGACATACTGTACTGTCTATCATCGACAGACTTGTGTTGCAAGCGCAAGATGGTGAAGATGTTCAAAATGATGCTAATGACGAAAACACTAGGCCCAAATACACGCAGTATGTCTGAGACTCGAAGTCTGAAGCTGTGAAGCATTGAGTCTGTCGCTGAACGTGTTCTGAGAGAAAAGTTCGGGTCACTGAATATACATATGCTACAGAAGACAGCTGTTAGTTACATGCTCAACTTACCAGAAACCACTAGTATTGAGAACTATAGCTTGAGCCGTTGCTGGCAGGCGCGAAAAATAACGTGTCACAAGTCAGGTTGCTTTCCTTTATGGTGCGCGTCAGCAGAACCCCTCTGTGTGAGTTGTACTTGGTTGAACAAACTGCCGGACCTTCGACATCGCCGATCTATTGCCTCGAGTCCTGAACAAAGCTTCCATCTACCTGTGCGTCCGATGCTCGCATGATTGAACGAAATAGATGCTGGTAATAAATGATATCAAGTATGTCCAGGGCCACTACAGGGTCACGACAGCGGAGTCACACCTACTTCACGGGTGATTGAACTAGTGTTGATGGCAGAACTCGTAAATTCTGCTTACAGCCGTCGGTCTGATGTAGAACTCGATTGCATAGAGTACTTGATAGTTCTGCCGTCAGTCCCCCTATTCCGAATCAGAGTGTCAGTTAAACATACCAACCCTCCCAAGCGGTTACGTCTACTTTTCAGAGAGCTTCTTCGAAGCGTAGTACTTCCTCACAAAAACTGTTGAGAAAACTTCGAAATAATCAAGTAAGTTGCAAGTATTTCAAGTTGATACACAATGTCAGTTATTTAGCCTCAGGGATCTCGCGTGACTACTAGTACAAACAACGCGTCAACACAAGGTCGGGTTGAGCTTGTAGCTGTCTTGCAGCACGACAGATCCAATGAGTTGAAATCTTGCTATTACCGGATGTTTTATATTGTATGGTCAGGAAATGAACACAGATCTGAAGGTGAATAGTACTTACCTCCTTGTGCCGCTTCCCGAGCAAAATAAACCTGTTCTCGTTTTTCTCGACCTCTGATAGCAAGGTCCACCGTCCATGTCACATCCGCGGACCAGTGGATTCGGACATCGAGAATGGGAGGGCAGATCCTTCTTTCTCGTGGTATTGACGAGACTCAGATGATCATTAACCTACTGACAGAGGGGCACTTGCTGGCATTTGACTGTGTTGACGTGGCTCACGTATTTTGGTTTGTTTATACCTGCGCACAAATTCAAGCTCAAGTCTTGGGCATCTAGTACTGATAGTGTAAGCATATGCACGGACAAGCATAAATCATATGCATAAGCGCTTAAGCTCCCGGGTGTGAGCTCCCCTTCTAGAAAAATTAAATGTTAAGCCTCAACACAACTCGCTATTCTATTGGCGCACCATTCGTGCACGTGACGACCACGACGCTACTGAATGCCAACAGGCATTGTATATATAGTTCATGTTCATTTTCCCTTCCTCCCTCAGTCTGTTACGCACACGACTGAGGGTACGTCACTGTCATTTTACGTTTCTCTTAGCTAGACACTAATGATCTACCTACTATAGATCTAACTCTGTCTAGGTACATATGAATTTTAGTCTGTTACGCACACGACTGAGGATCTAACTCTGTCTAGGTTTAACATATTCTAAATCCATTAGGCCGAAAGCTACGCAAGAGACCAGTCTGGCACTTCAAACCTGTGTTCAATACAGCCGCACTCACAAAGCAGATGAACTGAGAATAATTGCTCGAACTCAAGTTTACAACCATCGCAGGTAACCTCGATGCTAACGGCCGCTTTTCCGAATCGCCACACGAGAATCGTGTTGGTATCTTCAACTGCCAGCTATCTTCGAGATGTAGTTGCTCGATCTTCTCTTTCTCAGGAAGGAACGTGAGTCCGACAGTGCGATTCGTTGGGGTCTTGTGTTCCAGCTGAGGCTCATCATGCCCTCAGCAAAAGTTGTAAAATTCTAAATTTGGATTTTTGCGAGGGAGCCAGATGAGGTATAGGACTTGTTGGCCGCAAGATCATCTTCGGGAGAGGGAACGACGCTGTCGGTGTAGCAAGAGCTGAATTTGAACGGGCCGGGGTGCCACTGGTGGAACATCGAGTCCTGGAACAATACAAATGACCTTGGTAAGTTACTTCAGGTCACGGAGATTCACTTACGCTGTAGCTGAGTATGACGTACGAATTTTTTTATTAGGTAAGGCTTTGTTTACTGTATCATGGCACTTGGAAAGTACGTCTAATTGGTGCTGCTTACACCTGTGGGGTCTGTTCATGACAGTATGAATCACTGAATCTGCGCACCCTTTTGCTGTTGCCGAAGGTCGCCAACCAATTCCAGACCTGGGAACTGGTTTGGCTAACGTTGAACTCATGGGCATCATGCCACCCGCAAACATAGGCAGAGGCAGTGGTACAATGCATATGCACAAAGAACAGAGTGTCCCAGTGCGGCCCAAGCTAGCCATTTAGACGGGAGGTCTACGGTGCGGTGCTCGGAGATGATGTGTTTGCTGGGGAGGAGAATAGCGTCTTCAGAGTTTTCATGTTGATGCTCTAGATCGTGTATTCGGAGAGGCGAATACGATGCCATGAAGGTGCGTGACGTACCCGAAAAATCATCTCCTCTAACTAGCTTGTCAGCCTACTGGTGATTTGCCAGGTTGCTTGGTTCAAGTGTTCTAGGGCACGGAACAACGAGGACTCTGAGTTGATTCAACAACTGTATTCATTCAGGGCTGAATTTCTCTATCGTCTGATTGAACTTCGAATCATACATCAAGAGCACGTCCAGTATGGTCTGCGCCTACTAAATTCCTCGCAGCGATATGTCCCTGTGTGGTTCTTTTAATCAATTCAGGGACAAAATTGTTGAACAGGACCTCAGAGTCACATCTCTCACTATGAATCTCGCCACACCCTTCCTTCTGTGTCAGCCAAATAATCAAGACGCAAAATGAAACAATACGGCCTCCCTGACGGCAGAATTCTTTGCCTCGTCGTGGTGCACTGATCGAGTAAGTTGCTGATGGAAGAAAGCTTAGCCTTTTCCTAAGCAGATAACATGTACACCGAAACGATCACAGGATGAAGGTTTCTGCGAGTTAACCTGCAAGATAATCGAGCTACCCAAAGCTATAAAGGCCTCACTCCTTGCATCAATTATACACTCAATACCCTCTAACAATTACTGCTACTTGTATATAACCGCCATGAAGCTCACTTTGTCTTTTATTTTTGTCGCCATCGCTTTGCTACAGATGACGACAGCATCTCCCGTCGCCAAAGGTGATTCTTCAGTGCTAGCCTCATTTTGTCGTGGACTATTTACCTGGTTCATAACATAGATGTACAAGGGCACGGCCGAAAGAATATCGCGTGTATGTTCCAACGTGTTCATCCTATCTGCATCATGTCTAACAAGACCATTCAGATTCAGTTGCCGTCTGATGTTGAAGGTGATTCTTCAGTGCTAGCCCCACTTCACGCGGACTATTGACCTCGTTGAGTGATATAGAGGTCAAGAAGCGCGACCAAAAGAAGTTCGCGTGTATGTTCCAACCTGTTTATCTTATCTGCACCAATGTCTAACAGGACCGTTCAGATCTTGTTTCCAGGGGGGCCTCTGACGCTGACGGTGATTCTTCAGTGCTAGCTTCACTTTGTCGTGGACTACTCACTTTGTTCATAACATAGATGTACAGGGACACGGTCGAAAGAATATCGCGTGTATGTTCCAGTGTGCTTATTCTATCTGTATCATATCTAACAGGACCATTCAGATTCTGTTGCCGAGGACCTCTCTGATGCCGAAGGTGATTTTCCAGTGTTAGCCTCATTGTCATGCGGACTACTCACCCAGTTGATAACGTAGATGTCGAGAAGCGCGTCGAGAAGACATTAGCATGTATGTCTCAGCGTGTTTGCATTATTTGCATCTTGTCTAACGAGATGCGCATTGTGGCATAGCCATTGTTTCCGAGGAATCCCGTGACGTCCAAGGTAATTGTCTATGGCTCGGTTTTGAATGTTATATTTACGTTGTTCAATGTACAGGTGTTGTTGAAGGTATGTCTTGAACATCATCTTGGAGTCTCGACTCGTTTTAAACCACTACCACTGCTACAGCTTAAGGCTAGAAGCTCAAGGTTATCTGTCTGGGACAGCGAGTGCAACTTTATGTGCAAATTAGTCCAGTAACAGAGTATTACTATCGCACAATCATCTGATCGCAAGAACCAAATTTCATCGATCCCTAACTTTCGCCAAGTGTCGAGCACCGCACCCATCCGCCACTTCTGGGCTGTGATCTACAAAAGCTAATTCTAAGGTGTTTATGCGCCAAACGATTCTCGGGCAGCGTCGTGTCCTCTCTTTTGGAGAACAATCGCAGCTTATGTCCAGTTGACAGGCTGCGAGAAAGTGAATGGTAGATCGTAAGATCTGACAGCCTCAGCTTCGGGGTTGATCGTCTATGGGTGTGAATATGGAAGGTGCTGGAGATTATGCAGCTTCCGTGCACGACTCACCCGTCAGCTTGCCACCTAGCCAAATCTTAGACGCAGGAATTTTATGTCTCCCTCAAATTTTGAGATACGGGATTGGTCTAATAGATCAACTCTTACACTTATTCAGAGTACCTGTTTCTGTAAGAAGAATAAAGATGTGAAGCATGTCTGCTTGTGTGATGAACTTCGTACAAAAGTAGTGGTGACTTGACGCACACCATAGTTGTCAGTTGCACTGCTATATATGGTCAAGTCGGAGGGCATTCGAAAGATATCATAGGGGTTATTTGTACAATCTCAAGGTCTTTAGGTATTACATCTGTTTCATCTTCTTCATCACGGAACACAAGCATCTGCACTCTGATATCAAACTTTCACTCGAGGGCTACCGCACGAATTCCTCATTTCCTTTCCTTGGATTTCCTGGGCTTGGACGTGGTAGGTGCAAGAGGACCTCCCGCATGCCACGTCAGCAAGCGAGCTCAACGATTGATCTTTTCACAGGGGTAATCCCAGCGAAGAGGCATCTTTATCTAGCACCGCCTGCTGCAGCTGCATGATTCTTTGGCGTCCAGTTACTGGGGCCGGCGCTGGCGGCTGCACAGCTTCGGAGCCTGGTAGTGGCCTGTAACGGCCGACAGTCAAACGACGGCGTAAGGGTGGTTGGCCTGGAACCCTCTTTTGGCACTGGTCAGTCTGATCAAAGCCTGATCGTTAGGGAGACTTACCTCCATAATATAACGACAGATGTCATAATAACCGTCTCTATCCTTCTCTTTCCACGCCTTTGAAGACAAAATATCAGTGCTCACGGATGTAGGTAGATAAGTAAAACAATGTTACACGTTTACAGATATACAAGCCATCATACCGGAAGCCTTCCCATGGGGCAAATTCAGAATCAAGCTCATGGCCCCGAATAACGCGCACGGGTTTGCCTGTTTCAGAAGATTTCTGTTGTACTGTCATTTCCTGACCTCACATTTATCCGAGATAGAGAACCCACACGAAGCGCCTGATTTCCAAAATCCGACCATTGCTGGTCATGATCCAGCTCGCGCGTCTTGGGAATTTTAATCGGTAATCAAGCTATAAAACACAAGGACAACTTACACGATCACCGAGCTTGTGACCCCCTGACGATACTAAGTTGGCATATAATTTTGTAGCTCGGGTTGTGAATACACACCTGAACCTGTATATACGCTATATGCACAGGTCAGATTGCCAATCCGGCTCGAAGAATAAGCGCCGTGAGATGCTTACATCTTATCCCCGTCATCCTTGTCATCTTTATATTGGCCAGATACGACAATTGAGAAGGCGCCATCTGCCTCAGTGCCGCTTATACCAGCTTCGATTTGGCGATGCACACCGGCATCAAAACATTCTTTGCTGTGGACAGATAGACAGATGAGGTAACTGGTATTATCAAACGAGAATCAAGACTACGCACCGACTCTTCCATGTCGTCCCAACAGATGCTCCTGAAATTTCCCCGAAGCGCTGCCTGCAAACAATGTGCGTGAACAATGTGGTTGAGGGAGGAACATTGAGACTTACGCAGGCCTCTCCATTTTGCTAGTTGAATCGGCAATCTTCTCGTCCGAGACACTGTGGTGTCTTCGCCTCCGAGTCGTTCTGAGTGCGAACGTTGTTTATTGTATTGTTGGCGATTGTCAGGACGATGGAAATAAGTAGGTCACTGTTTGCGTCGGAGTTCGAAAGTTGGAATCTTCGAAAGGGCTGCATACGAATGCATCCGAAATGCAGTGAATAAAACTCCTGTCCAGTATCGACGTACCTTCTGTCTTCATAGAGTTACATGATATGAGGATAATCAGAATCGTATATTCATTCTGATGAATATAGGCGACATCTACATTGTAGGACGCGAGCGCAGACGAGCTGTAATCGAAAATACGACCTTCAGCAGTTGCGTTTTCCGACTGAAGCTCAATGAATAGCAGGCCTATCTGCAAGACATCAACCCCCAGCGATCCGGGTTGTTTGGAAGCTACGACGGCTATCCACCGCCAAAGCAACCCGCAAATTTCACGCATAGTGATGTTATTCCAAAGTCTGTGAAGGAGGATGCAATATCATTGTGACGGATCAATGATTGGGAAAGTTTCCTGTGTAGTGAGTCTAAGCATGGTCAAATGTACATCTTACACACCAGATGGGAATTGAGTATGGACGAGTCGGAGATGACGGGCGCGTTCGAGGAATAGTTGACTGAGGAGAAGTAGATGTACGATTTAAGGCGAAATTTGGCATATAATATCATTGGGCAGGCAGTAAAAACGGAGGTCAATTTTGACGGAATGCGAGAAATGATGCTTGGGCGCTTTAGCTGCCACGCGGCCTATACCAGCGGTTGTGAAGAACACTGACTTGACCTAAACGCTCATTGTGCCTTGGGGTCAACGATATTGTAGCAAGTGATGGTCTTGGACTTTGTTGGATGAAAGCTGAAACGGAGTTGCACCTCATAGTTGAGTATAGCTTCACCCGTCGTAGTGAAGCAAGAGAGCATCGGCGGTAACTCTCAGCCAGAAATTTGAAGGACACACCAATATAGTTTTTGGCACCATACATCTGCCAGGTGGAGAGAGGATGTTGACTTGTCCAACGGACGTCTCGCTGCGGATATGGGAATTAAAGAGTGGGAAATAGATATGAGAGGACTGGCGGGACGGAGGCAGTGAAGTACAGACCTGGATAGAATTGTCTCCGGACAGGAAGAAAGTGATTATCAAAAGTGAGGTTGTGGGACGCCGACACAGGCAAAAGTTATCGCAAAATGGAATATGGGGCATACAGAGTACTGACCAGTGGGTTCAGTCTACTGGAGTCAAGATGGTCGGCCAGTGGCCACTGGCGAGCGTGTCCTCCGACGGGACTGCGGCAAGGCAGTGGGACGTGGAGACCGAAGAGAAATCAATCAAGATAGGATACCATGTGCAGTATTCCGTTGTCTACTCGCCAGATGCGACCATGATCGCGAGTGGATACAAGGACTCGGACTCGACCGCTGAAGTCACCGTGATTTCAGATGGAAAAGCGCTTATTTCCGGGTCAAATTTATATTGATGCTGACCCGATTAGAACTTGTAATACTACATGTACAACGTGGAACAACCTGGCAGTACTTGTTAGAATACATCAGCGGCATCTATATGTTGACATTATGTATTTGCAATATCTTCGAATGGCCGCATCCTCGAAAGCATATCGAATAGCGACACAGCACGATTATGGCACCTCGACAACAGCCAGCCCATCAGTTCACCACTATGCAGTCAGTGAACTGTGTCATTTTCGGCAGGTGGAAGGCTGTTAGCTACTGGCTGATTTGATACACATAGTATGCATGGGACATTTCTGCGATACTACTGAGGGGATTCATTGGCCTCGACGGCCTTTTGGACCAGCGCGACAAGTCGGTACGCGCTGTACGTGGCACTTTCAGTTCTCATTGCACTCAAGCTTATGCAATGACATGCATTCTAGGCTGATGCTACACGACATCCTGTCTGTCAGTGCTTCAGCCACTCAAGGTTTCCCATTGGATACCCCGAGGTCTCTTTGACGTCCCACGGCCGCCCAACAAATTGTGCTTACATACGTCGTTAATATCTCTTCTGGCACTGTTTTTATCGCCTCAATCGTCTCAGTTGTCTGCACGACACCGCCCTCATTTTCTCTCGTTGATTTCCGGCGAGCTTGCGCTTGCGCGTGGTAGACACAGGAGGACTGGACAGCATGCTTGTGCAAGCGGGCCCAGCGTTCAGCCTTTTTACAGGGGGCGGGGGGCTTTCTAGTAGAAACGCATCCATGTTGTTTATCCGCGCCTGCTCCCGTTGCATGATTCTTTGGCGTCCAGTTACTGGAGCTGGAGTTGGCGGCTGCACGGCTTCAGAGCCCGGTAATGGCCTGTAAAGGCCGACAGTCGTTGAACGACGGCGTAAGTGTGGTTGGCCTGGAACCCTCTTTTAATACTGGTCAGTCTGGTCAAAGCCTGATCATTTAGAGACTTACCTCCATGATATAACGACAGATGTCATAATAACCGTCTCTATCCTTCTCTTTCCACGCCTTTGAAGACAAAGTATCAGTGCTCACGGATGTAGGTAGATATGCAAAACAATATTACAGCTTGACAGATGTACAGGCCATCATATCGGAAGCCTTCCCATGGGGCAAATTCAGAATCAAGTTCATGGCCCCGAATGACACGTACGGGTTTGCCTGTTTCAGAAGATTTCTGTTGTTCTGTCATTTCCTAACTTCACATTTATCCGAGATAGAGAACTCACACGAAGCGCCTGATTTCCAAAATCCGACCATTGCTGGTCATGATACAGCTCGCGCGTCTTAGGAATTCTAATCAGTAATCAAGCTATGAAGCACAAGGGCAACTTACGCGATCACCGAGCTTGCGACCCCCTGGCGATACTAAGTTGGCATGCGATCTTGTAGCCCGGGTTGTGAATACACACCTGAACCTGTATATAAGCTATATGCACAGGTCAGATTACCAATCCGACTCGAAATATGCGCTGTGAGATGCTTACATCGTGTCCCCGTTATCCTTGTCATCTTTGTATTGACCCGAGACGACAATTGAGAAGGCGCCATCTGCCTCAGTGCCGCTTATACCAGCTTCAATGTTGTGATGCACGCCAGCATTAAAACATTCTGTGCTGTTGACAGACAGACAAATGAAGTAACTGATGTTATTAAACGAAATTAAGAGTACGCACCGATTCTTCCATGTTGTCCCGAAAGGCGCCCCGGGGTATTCCCCGAAGTGGTGTCTGCAAAGACAGTACGTAAACAGTGTGGTTGAGGGAGAGACATTAGAGAGCATTACTAACACCGGCCTGGTAGGACTTTCGCTGCCCTTCCTGCACCTTTCGCTGGATGTTTCTTTTGAATCTTCTTTCATCTTCTCGTCCCAGACACTGTTTGATATCTTCACCTCTGATCCGTTCTTGAGCATTATGTTGTCAGTGACTGTCAAGGTGATGGAGATAAGTACACGAGGCCGATAATGAGGCTCTTATACATAGACTGCTGCTGAGTCGGAGTTCGAAAGCCGTAGTTGCCTATAAGGACCGGACCTGAGGCTACTTCAACGACGAATAGTCGATGCGGATCCATGATGGGTCGATAGCGCAGACATCGACTTGATTTACTCCCGCGGGACAAAGTTGTACACTTGGATCATCAAGCAGTTCTGCGTGAATTTCTAAATTGTGCAAGCATGGGGGCTACAGAAACTGGTTTAACAATGTACTGTTCGTAGACAGACCTAGCAGAGTAGTATCAGTAGACGGACATTGCAAATGATTTTCAAAGCAAGAAAACAGAAAAACTGGGTGCTGTACATCCTTGACTGGTCCTATCAGAAGGGCGAAGTTGATGAGAAAAATGAATTCGAGGTCTTGAAAGCAAGAAAGCAGAGGAGTCGGGATGTAGTGGATATTTGACAGCCGCAACTGACTCGCTCAGAAGGGCGAGGGGGGCAAGAAAGATGAAAATGAGGAAGCCGTGGTTTCGAGGTCTTCAAGTAGTATATCTTCCTCGTCTTCGTCATCAAGTGACAAATCAACATCTTCGTTATGCTCATCGTAAGAGATTCTCCACATGGGCCTCGCTAGGAAGTGATTGAACTGGGATTGACTAGACCACATGCTGGGTTTTATAAGGGTGGCAGGTGTCATCATGGAAGAGCTCGTTTCAGGGAAGTGTTGCTGTTTCTCTTTCTGCATCTCTTTCTGCACCCGCTGATTGTGCTTTTGCAGCGGGGTTTCAATAGTCCCCAGGACCGGCACTAGAACTTGTGGCTGCACGGTGGGTGATGAAGACGACGACGGTTGAGGCGGCACTCGGTCGGCGAGTTTGCGCTTCTTAGACGCCGGATCGGGACAAATTGTGGGTGCAAATGGTTGAGCCTTGCGCTTACGGCTGATCAACGTATGCGAGGGCGAGACAACAGTGTCTGACGTAGCTACAGAGGCGGGCGATGGCTCATGGTTGGTATCTCCAAGCGAGCGACGGAGCAGGGGAGGTTGACCTGGAACCCTCTGTTGACACGTTATCAGTCTAATCAGAGTCCCGTGCTTTAAATGAAACTCACCTCTAACCTGTAGCGGCAGATATCCAGACCTTTGGAATTTTTCTCTTTCCATGCCTTTGAAGGTTGAGTATCAGAGTTGGGATGTAGACATGGGAAATAACGTTACGGTTTCAACAGTGTACAAACCATCATACCGATAGCCTTTGGCAGGCGCAAAATCGGAAAGCACTTTGTGGCTCCGGATGACGCGCACGGGGTTGCCTGTGTCACGCGATGTCTGTTCTGCAGTCATTTGGGGACCTCAGGTTCAAAGACAGAAAAACTCACGACAAGTGCTTCATTTCCTTGGTCCGACCACTGCTGATCAAAAACCTGCGGACCTAACCGGAGCTTTT